CCACGCCGTTGTTCGTGACGCGCCGTCATCGCCAATGTTGGCTGCTGTCGTTGTTGTTCGTTGCCCACTGGCTCGAGCACAGTGGTTCGGCGAACCGAGCTTTGTTCGACGCGCGTTGGCCTCGACTTCTTTCGCCCTCGCGTCGCCAACTTGGCGCGCCGATCTGATGGTACTCAGCGGCAACAATAAGCGGGCCATCTATAATGACCCACACAACATGGGGCCATATTCGCTCGGGCAGTTGGCGAAGGCCCTTCAGTCGAGGTGCACCGATCAAAACATGGAGCTCGCGACAGTCAAGTCTTTCGTAGAGAAGGTCTTCAAGGCAGCTGATTCCAACTTCGACAATTGCCGGCGCGCAGCAGAAGTTCAAGGCGCAAGAGCAGAAGGAGTCGGGGGGGGCCCAGGCGCGAGCGACGAAGCTCGGCAAATTCAAGGAACTCACGAGGCTCTCTACGGAGATGCGCGTTGACGGCGGGGGCATCGCATGTGAGTTGTTCCATGCTCTAGGCGTTGAAGGGGCTGTGCTTGAGCCGCGGCTTGGTTCAGCAATGTAAGGGCCCGGAAATATGATGGGGGGGGGGCGGTGCCAGGGGGGGTCAGGAAGGGGGAAACATGGGGGCGCTGCGGGGCGCGGGGGGGGCGGCGCGCGCGGAGGCTGCGGGGACAAAGGGAGGGGGGGGGGGCGGGGAAGGGGGGGGGTGCGGCGGGGGGGGGGGCGGGGCGGGGGGGGGGGGGGGGGGGGCGCGGGCGCTACGCGCGCGCACAGCGGCGGCGACGAGGAAGGCGACGGGGGGGGGGGGGCTGGCTTCGATGACGGGGGCAGGGCGGGAAGGGATGGGGGGCGGAGAAGGGGCGCAGGTCGACGATCTGCACGCTTGCCCGCGGCCCGCAGGGCCGCCGCCGCGCGCCCGAGGCCCGCGGGGCCATCTCGCGGAGGCTGCGTTTCGCCGAGGCCAGCCCCAGGGCCAGGTTGGCGGCCGGCCTCGGGGCCAGCCTCGGGGCGGGTTGGAAAGCGCGCCCTCTTCTCCTCTACCCCGTTTCGTCTCCCCCCCCATGCCGCCCGCCCCTCGTGCCCTCGGCCCCTCGTCGGAGTCGAACCCCGCATTGCGCCGCGCCCCCTTCGCCGCGCCCCCCGCCCCCAGGGGGGGGAGACAGGCGGCGCAAACGCATGTATGTATATATGTATGTATGTATGTATGTATGTATACATATATATATATATATATATATATATATGTATAGCAAAACAAGAATTTCAAGCTAAGAACACTAATGCAAAATATGCGCCGAGCTATTCGACGCCCTGCTGATGGCAGTCGGCTTTAGTGAAACGTAGTTGTTACATTCCCCCCGTCTTATTCCTCCTCACCCTCGTCCCCCCAGGCCCCCCCTCGCCCGTTTTGCCCCCCCGCATCGCCTCGTCCATGCCGCCCCCCCCTCGTCATCCGCCCCGCCCTCGTCGCCTCCTCGCCCTCATCCTCATCTTCCTCCTCCTCATCACCCCCCCCTTCTCGTCCTTTCCCTCCCCCCCCCCCCCCCCTCCACGCCCCCCCCCCCCCCGTCCTCCCCCCCCCCCCCCCTCCTCGCCCCCCCCCGTCGTCCGCCTCCTCGCCCCCCCCCATTCCCCCTCCTCGCCGCCCTCGTCGCCCTCCTCGCAGGGCGGCGGAAACGAGACGTGGTGATGATGAGCTTTTCGGGGTTGTCCAGCCGCGGCGACGAGGAGCTTGCGCTCTGTCTCCAGAATCCAGCCGTGGCGGCGAGATGCTGTCGAGGCCGAGGATCTGGTTCTTCCTGTTGCATGTGGCACGGCGGCTCTTCGACGCCTCGCGCGCTCTTACTCTGGTCTCACATCCCCCTGCAAGAATTTTGGCCCAATCAAGGTTTGATCGCGTGAACTGAGCAAGGGCCCACTGGCGGCGGCGCAGCTCCATTCTCAGATGGCCAAGAGAGCAATGGGAAAACATGGCGCCAGCTCGACCGCCCGCGAGCCCTTGGGTCGCGACGGGAAGACGGCGGCCGGCGCCAGCTCGCCCGCGGCTGCCCAGCCACCGAGGAAGGCCACGGGCACGGCGGCGTCTGACGCGGCGGCAGCCTCGCCTCTTGGGCCGAGCACCGCGGGCGAGAGGTCTGCTTGCGCCTGCGGCATCTGCGGCAAGACGGCCAAGATCGCGACCATGACCACCGCCACGTAGTGCCCCAAGTGTAAGGATGTGCACGAGGAGGCGCTTCTGTTTGGAGTTGGGCCGGCCTGCGCGAGCGCTACCATGCCGATGATAAGGCCGCCGCGGACTTCGATGGCGCGCGCGCGTTGAAGCGCAGCGAGAGGGGCGCCGCCTTGCCCGCGTTCGCCCCGCAACGTCTGACAGATCAGACCCTCGCGTGCGAGGGCGCGATCGGGCCCTGCAAGGCCTTGACGTTCAACGAGGCAGAGGCCGAGTTCATGTTGGACCTCCACCTGGCGAAGATCAAGACTGGCAACATCGCCGACATGAAGGGCGCCGCGCGCGCAAGGTTCATCGCTGCGAACCCCGATCAACCCCGCGCGATCGCTACCGTAGTCCGTCGCAGGCGTTTGGGCCTCGAGTCCGAATTGACGCAGCCCGATAAGAAGATGTGGGAGGGCCAGGGCGAAGTATATTTGCAGTCGCTCATTGACGCGCGGGCCGCAGGGCCACCCGCGTTCCTCGACGCGCCCGCGCGCCGGGAGGACCATGCGAAATGCGCAGAGTACAATCGGCAGGAAGAGATCTAACAAGCAAGCCAGGCCATCAGGGAGGGGAAGGTGGCGGTCGTCGAGGACGAGGACGTCGCCTCGCCAGCGCCATCGGGAGCATTCGGGACGCCAGCGGCGCAACGGCTTCAAGAGTCGCAGGAGGAGCGCCTGCCACGCCCCTCCCCCGAGTGCCGCGCCCCTCGGATGTCGCCCCACGCGGGCGCGGTTATCGGGGCCACGGTTGGGGCCAGCATCTGCCCCAGCGGCGTCGAGGGGTCGTCCGGGGGGCCGTCCGACGAGGATGGCGCGCGCGAGCTCAGGTTTGGCGGCTGTAGTATGGTTTCGAAGTGCTGGGAACCGTGGTTCCCTCGTCCTCTCCGCGTGCCTGAGGGAGTTCTTACATTGGGTGATGGGCGTTTCCAACGACTCGTCGCAAGGGGAACTATCGGCCGGGGGGCCTGGGGCCTGCGCTCGAAACGCAGTTGCGTTGCCGCCGTCGCCCGCAGCGATGCCGAAATCTATCGCCACCACCGCCCCTTTGGGGCGGGCCACTGTCTATTTATATTTGGAGGATGCGCTGTTGGATGAATGGGTGTTTTGCTGCGTTGAGGGCGTCGGGGTGGGTTCTGGGCTCTCGACGCGCGCCGTCTCGATGGCGCGCGTCTTGGCGCGGGGGGGGGGGGGGCTGGGTCGTCGCGGTCAGCCCGCCGAACCCTTGTCTCGCCGCCCCGTAGGTATTTGACGACGTCGCGCAAAGATCCAGAGGCACTTCGCTGGCCAGAAGTTGGGCCACAAGCTGCGCAATCTGATGGGCTACATGAAAAAGCGCGGCCCTGACGAGCCCGACTACGACGCGGCAGTTGCGCGGCCCGACATGAGCGAGAAGGCCGCGCTAGCGTGGGCCAGAAGGCGAAGGCGGCCCCCACCATGAACCGCGAGGACCTCGCCGAGCTCGCGAGGCATCTTCGCAAGGATGGGCGCCAATATCCCTGTGCTCTTCCAGCGGGCCCTCTTGGGCCGCGCAATCGCCGACTGGAAGAACGACCCCGAGTTCGCTTTGGAGCTGGACTACGCGGTGGCTGTGTGTCTGCCATGGGGCGGCGACGTCGGCGACGTGGACTCGCCCGCTTCGGTCTCGCGCGTGGAGCCCAGGCCCTGGCAGATGGCGCGCAGTCCGCATGGGAAGGGGGGCATCTTCAAGGACGCGTTCATCAAGGTCTTCATGGGCTCTTGCCTCAAGGGTGGCAAGGGCTCCGTGGCCGCCGCGGCCGAACTGATCAAGTCTGGCCTCGCCGCCACCCAGAACATGCTGGTGGACCTCGATGAGTCTTTAGACGCCGCGGCGAACGAGGCCACGGTGGCTTTGAAGATCCTCAACGCCAACGCGGGGAGCGTCAGCGACGCAGTCGGGTCGGTGGCGATGGACAAGTTCACGAAGGCGAAGTCCACCACGCTCAATGGCTCCCGGCTCGCCATTGCGAAAACCAGCCCGTATTGGAACGAGGACGTGCGTAATTTCATGAAATACTCGCCTGGGTTGAAGGAGCGGGGCCCCGCGATCGAGTCGCGCGAGAAGGAGTTCAGCGCGTCGGAGACGTGCGAGCCAGATTTCCTGTTCAAGCGCATCGGAGACCTCGCCAAGATTGGGCAAAACGTGCCGCCGCAGCACGCGTCTGCCAGGGTGCGCAGCAGCCGGGGCGACGCGGCAGCTGGGATCGCAACGGGCATCGAGCTGGGTGCAGCGCGAGATAAATACGAGTCCCTCGCGAAGGAGGGCGTCGGGGAGGTGGGGAAGTTGCCGCAGGTGCCGGTCAAGGCTGACGCCGCCAAGTCGGGCCGCCACAGCCGCGGCCGCGCGCAGGATTTCTTCAACCACATCGCCGTTTTCAACAAGGAGAGCATGGACTACGCCATCGACAATTTCTCCGAGATCGAGGGTCTTCGCAGCTTCGCGGACGTGCCTCGGACCATTCGGCTCAGGGACTTCGCGGGCCAGGCGTTTGCCAAGGTGCTTTGGGTAAAGGGCGGGTGGTCTACAGCTGTGGCTGGCGAGCTCCGGGGGCCCTCCCACGAGGTGATCAGTGCGACGAGTTGGCGGGCGGTCCTGGCCGACGTCTCCGGCTGCGAGCGCACGTGGAAGACCGCCCAGGAGTTCCTGGACAGACCGAAGATTTACCATTCCCTCGCGCGCTGCTTCGGCGAAGCCACGGACTGAGAGTAACAGGAGGGCGTGGCCAAGCTGGCGGACGCGCCGGATCACGCTGCACAGTCGTTCTTGGTTTCGATGAATTCTGCGGCACCCCATGCCCGCGAAGACAAGAACGACGACGCAGAGCTCATCAATGACACCTTCATGGAAGGCTTCGATGCCGAGGCCATCGCGCTAAAGGACAACATCTTCAAAGAGAAGGCCAACGCGGCGTTGGGGAAGTTCGCTGCTGAGTCCGAGGAGGTGCCGCTGTCGAAGCCGATAGGCGGCGTCCTGGATGGCGAGCGGGCCCTTGCTTCCGACGCGACCGTCGAAGCGCTGTTGGAGCGTGCCCGGGGCAGCCTCTTGAAGCTCAGCTACGACCCCTTCATCCAAGAGGTCACTAGTTGCTGCGACGCGCCGAAGACCCGGGAGGATCCTGAGAACGCTTTCAACGCAAAGGTTTCGGGCGACGCCACCCCGCGGCACAGCGCTGAGCACGCGCCGCGCCGCAGCGAAGATAGCCTGCGAGTGCCAGGCGACGCGCAGCCGCGAGAAGGCCGGCAGCAACCCCATCGCGCTCGAGAGATGCACGCCGGCTGTAGCCGAGCAGGTTGAGGAGTTCAACGGCGGCCCCCTGCGCCCCAGCATCGCCGAGGCCGTCGGGCTCGGCACAGAGATGGAGTTCGTGTTCGACTAGGCGGATCTGCGAGGATATGGGGTCTGGGCGTTTGATGGCAGGCGGCAGGCGCCCTGCTCGCGGGCTGCGCGGTCGGCGGGCTGCTCGCTGCGAGCTGGAGCTTGCGCCTCGCTGCAGGTGGGCCGCAGCGAACAACGTGCAACGCGGAAAAACAACACAAAACACAGCGCAGACAGTCAGATGATGCGGCCCGTGCCCCAGAGCATGGGCCAGATAAGACTCCGGCCATCGTGATCCTCCATAACTCTTCGCCCCTCACTTTCACTTCGTTCCCTCCTCCGCCCGCCTCGCGCCCCCCCCCCCCCCGCCTGCCTCCTCGGCCCCGCCGGCGCCGTCCCGCCCCCACCTCCGCACTTGCCCCGCCATCCAGTCCTCGCCCCCTGCGCCCCCGCGCCTTCCTCGCCTTCTCTCTTCCCGCCTCTTCGTCGTTTCACTCTTGCTCGTCGGGCATGGCCCACCTCCCCATTCCGAACCCGCCTCTGTGAGATATCCCCGCCCTCCTCCGCCGTGCTCTTCTCCCCCCTCATCCTCGCTGCCCCCTTATCCATTCCGCCCGCGCCCTCAATCTCACCCCCCTCATCGCCAGGCCCCCCGCCCTCCTCCTCCCATTCCCCCCTGACCTCGTTCGTCCTGGGAAGGGGTTTCGCCCGCGCGCCCGCCGCCTCGGCCAACGGGGTGGCGCGGGAATAGGACAGGCGCCCACAGCCCTCCGAGGGCGGGAGGGGGAGAGAGAGAGAGAGAGAGAACGCGAGGGAGAGAGAGATAGAGAGGGGATGATGAGGATGAGGAGGGCGACGGAGAGACGATGATGATTGCGATGATGGGGAGGAAGGGGCATATGATGAACCAAAGGAGAGGACGTCCAGGGAGGGGCCGAAAGGGGGGATGATGATGTCTTTGTTCTGTGCGCAGTTGGGCCATCAAGGGTTCAACTGTCTGTCGCGGCGCGTTCTTTCCCTGGATGTGCGCACCCCTGTTGGGGGCTCCGCCCGCGCCCATCGCGCGGCATCCTCCCGCCGTTTTGCGGATAATGGTTTGGGCAGCCTCTTGCCCATGTAATCTCGCGGCCAACGCGCGCGGCCCAGTCCCGAACACGTGGCAGGGCCAACAAAACATCCGCACTCCCCCCCCCCTCTACCAGGGCTTCAACCTGTGGTGCGTTTTCGGGCACCTGGCCACTCCAGTGGCAATCTAGTTAGCGGTGGCCCCAAGAGGTCCTCCGAGTGGCCCGATCGGGCCCAGTGGCCCCCACAATGTCGCCTGGTTCGCTCGGCCGTGTGCTTTGGGGGGGCACTCGATGCTCAAATGGGTTGGATCCTATGTGCGGTTGCGCCGTGAGTTCGTTCCGGCCATCGCTTGGCAGACGTTAGGTATCGTTAGGCAGACGTTAGGTATCGTTATTGATTCTCAGCAGTTCAGGTTTTCGACGTTCTCATGCGTCATTTGGGCACCATAATGCAGCGCCTCATGTGTTATAGCCGTCATGTTTGGCTGTCGCACAAGACGTACAATCCCCTTGGGATGTTAAATCCATCGCGCCCTTGGACATGCACTTTTTAGAATTGCATTGCGTTGCGACTCGCGGCTTCAAAAAAAACACGCGCCCCATTTTTTATATTCAATATTAAAGCTATTTTCAAAAATCCTGAACTCCGTTTTCGTGCATCTTTGAACTCTTGTTTCCTGGTTTTCAGGATTCCTACGGTTTCCAAGCCAGCAGGGTTACAGGTGTTCGGCGGGGCGGCGGCGCGGGCGCGGCGGGGCCGTCGGAGGAGGCGGCGGCGTCGGAGGAGGAGGAGGGAGGAGGACGAGAGGAGGGAGGAAGAAGAGGGCGAGGAGGAGGAGGAAGAGGAGGACGAGGGAGGCAGGGGAGGATGAGGAGGAGGGCGGGGCGTGGGAGCAGGGGCCACGCGAGCCACAGCAACGAATCTATCCATGTGCATGCCCTCGCTGTCAAGATGGCGGGGTCCGATTCCAAGGATGCGCGATCCTATGTGTACGTTCCGCGCGGAGCATCCGCGCGACGCTGCCCTGAATCCATGCATGGGGCCGTGGCCGAGAAGCCAGGATCGCCAGGCCATGGAGATGGATATCGTGATATGATGGTTTTCCCTCCCGCGATGCCTCTGGGGCCCTCTGGAAACCCGTTGCCTCGTGATGCAACGACAGAGGATTAAAACGCGACGACGTCTCTGCAAGTTTAGCAACCGTTCTGCGAGCATTGCCCACGGTCAACGCATTCTGGTGCTGCAGTGGGCCTGGGGCAACGTGTGCTGCAGTGGGCACCCCCCCGAAGGGCCTCAACATCCTCCCTCAGGGCTCCCCAGACATCGGACGTTTTGTTTGTTTTCGATACGGGGTCCCCGGAAGTCCCGACCTTTGCCCAGGCCCGGCTCTTCCTCCCGAGTCGTTTCTTGACGGTCCTGGGGCCCAGCGGGGGCCCCCAGAGGCCGAAAACGTAGAGAATAAAACTCGCCGTCGTCGATTTGCTCACGACGCGAGCGCGTCTGGTGGTGAACACGTTCCCGGCGGCCTGGGCCCCACTGGGAGCAGGCGCCTCCTCCGCTCCCAGGCCGCCGCCTCAGCGCGCGCGCGCGCGCCGCGAGGCCCGGCCCCGTGGTGCGCGGCGCCGCCGCAGCCCCCGCCGCCCGCGGCGCCGCCCGCACCTATCGCGCGCGCGACGACGACGACGAGGAGGAGGAGGAGGAGGAAGAGGAGGTGGAGGAGGTGGAGGAGGAGGAGGGGGAAAAAGAGGAGGAGGACGCGGATGACGAGGAGGAGGAGGACGACGAGGAGGTGGAGGACGAAGACGAGGACGACGACGAGGAGGACGAGGAGGAGGATCGGATCGGATCGGATCGGAGATCCGTGCAAGGGCTTCACCAGGAAACCACAGCGGGTTTAGTGCAGAGCAGCGTTCCAGCTACCGAAGGCCAACGAGGAGGAGAAGGAGGAGGAGGAGGAGGCGGAGGAGGAGGAGGAGGAGGACGAGGAGGACGACGATGACGACGACGTCCACGAGGGCGACGACCACGACGAAGGCGACGACGATGGCGGCAGCGACGGCGGCGTCGACGACGACACCATGCGAAGGTTGAGGTTTTTGAACGCGTTCAGCCTTCAGCTTTTTTCGTGCCTTCGACGACGACGACGAGGATGACGACGACGACGTTCGAGGGTTGAAGTTTTTGGACGTGTTCAGCTCTGGTCGGGCCTCTGCATGCACCCCCCAGGATCCTCGGGAGGCTGGGGCAATGCATGCGGTTCAGTGTTAGGAAAAGGAGGAGGAGGAGGAGGAGGAGGAGGAGGAGGAGGAGGAGGAGGAGGAGGAGGCGGCGCCAAGCGGGTTCTCGTGATGTCAGGGGACCGTGAGTCGGCGTTTTTGGGTATATGTGTTGATCTATTTGTGGACCTCTGGGAGACGCTTCGCGTTGTCACGGGCTGATTTGTTCTAGGAATTCTGCTCGGCATGGACCCCAGGCAACGTCAGCTGGGGACCGAACTTGACAGGATTTTCCGTAGAGGGGCTAATGAGCGATGTAGGTTTCGGCATTGTGGGACCGCGTGGTTTGCGCTTTCCTACAATTTGCTGTGCCGTGTTCGCTCGATCCATCGGCATATTGGAAATGTAGGAATATGTGGTTCGTGATTTCCTACAATTTGGTTCCCAGCCGATGACCCGGCCTCGTGTTGCAAAGACCTCGAGCATCGCGAACAACTCACGATGAACGTTTTTGTTGTTGTTGCGGTGAGGTTCGCCTTGGGGCCCCAGCACAGGTCAAAGGCCATACGCGGCGGAAGGTTGGTCCATCGCCGGTGCACCGGCGGTGCGGCGCAGTCCTCTGCCATCTAGGAGGCCTCTATCCGTCGTCTCCAGGGGGCGGGCGGGAAGCCAATATTCTCTCAGCGCCCTCCTGCCTCATGCTTGTGCCCGCCTGCTCCTCCTGCTGCGGCCACTCCCCGCCCTGTCGGCGTTGCTGACTGCTTCCTGGTCTCGCTGCCAGGTCCGACGATCAGCGTTGGACGCTTTTGATTTCTTGGAGGGACCGCGGATGCACACTCCACGCTCTGTGGGCGATGTTGGCAGCTGTGGACTGCCGCGTCTGGCGAACATCGTCGGACGTCGTGTTGTTTCAGGGAGGGCACTCACAGTGCGTGCCCTCCATCGTAGGCTGAACTGTCGCTCCCTCGGTCCTGCCTGACGGCTCGCAGAGGAAACCCCTCGCCATAGCGCGAGGGGGGCGCCCCAGACTGGCCGAGGGTGTCGATTGAGACGTCCGGCCGCTCACATATTTCCCCGTAGGGGCCCAGAGCGTTCAAGTGAACCTTGGATCAGCCCCTGGAGCGCCTTTGCCTTCTTTGTTTCACCTCATCTTCCTCGGAGCGCTTCTGCCCACCGTCTCCTCCTTCGACGACGACGGCGACGACGACGACGTCGATGACGACGCTGACGACGACGACGACGACAACGAAGCTGACGACACGCCGACGACGACGACGACGACGACGACGACGACGACAAAGCTGACGACGACGACGACGAAGCTGACGACGACGACGACGAAGCTGACAACGACGCCGACGACGACGACCTCTTCCGAGCGGTGGGCGGCTCGAGGGGGGAGGGCTCGAGCCCGGCCGCGGGCGGCCTCCGCCGGACAGCGCGGCCCCCGCCGGCGCGCCGCCCGTCGTGGCCGCAGCCGTCGTGGCCGCCGCCGTCGTCGCCGTCGTCGTCGTCTTCGCCGTCGTCGCCGTCGTCGTCGCCACCGTCGTCGTCGTCGTCGCCGTCGCCGTCGTCGCCGTCGTCGTCGTCTTCGCCGTCGTCGCCGCCGTCGTCGTCGTCGCCGCCGCCGTCGTCGCCGCCGTCGCCGTCGCCGTCGCCGTCGCCGTCGTCGTCGTCGTCGTCCTCGTCGCCGTCGCCGTCGTCGTCGTCGTCGTTCGGCGGTTGACGATCGAGGATCGAGGGTCGGCTTCTCAGAGGCGCTCCAGCAGATGGGGTC